TGGTATTTTTAGCAAACAGAAACCTCTTTGTTATGGTGAACAGAATTGTAAGTTAGGGTTTATTTCTATAAAGAGTTTTCAAGACTGTATTGAGTCAGTAGATTTGATTTGAGAGGAAATGCTATCCTAATAGTACCACATCCTTCAGACCAAGAAAATATATTTATTTAAATATCAAATGTGCCTTATGATTATTTCATATTTAAATGTTTATTAAAATGTTTAGGTTTGCACTATTTTATTGAATTTATTTCTGAGTAGTTTTTTTGTTTTTGTTTTTGTTTTGACAAAAGGTCTCTCTGTGAACTTCTGGCTTTCCTAGACCTCACTATGTAGCTAAGGCTGGCCTTTGACTCACAGAGATCCGCCTGCCTCTGCCTCCTGAAAGCTGGGATTAAAGGCGTTACCCCACCACTTGCCAGGCCTGAGTAGTTGTTAATGTGGATGCTATTATAGATGGAATCCTTTCTTTAATTTTTTTGAGCTTTATATATTTTTATTTTATGTGTATGGGCGTTTGGCCTCATGTATGTTTGTGTACCACATGTGTGCCTGGTGCCCCCAGAGTTCAGAAGAGAAGATTGGATCCCATGGAACTGGAGTTACAGACAGTTGAGAGCTGCCATGTGGGTGCTTGCAATCAAACCCAGGTCCTCTGGAAGAACAGCCAACCCATTCACCTCTGAGCCTTATCTTCAACACCTGAAATTATTTAATTTCAGTTTTAGATTCTTTGCTGGTGTTACATAGAAAAGTTGATTTTGTCATACTGATCCTGTGTGTTATGAACATTCTAGCTTTGCTTATTAGCTTTAGTATGTTTTGTAGACTCAGTAGGATTTTTTTAAAATTATTTTTTGTTTCAGGGTTTCTGTGTAGCCGGCCTTGAACTCACAGAGATCTGTCTGCCTCTGCCTCCTCAGTGCTGGGATTAAAGGTGTGTGCCACCAGCTTCAGTAGGATATTTTTACATAGGACATCAGCCCTCTCATCTTTACATATGAACAGCTTTACTTTTTTTCTAATATCTATTTTAACTCCCCTTTCCTGCCTCCCTGCACTGGTATTTAGAAGTGGTGAAGGTAATACCCTTGCCTTGTACCCAGTCAAAGAACCAGCTGTTGGTTTAATTGATCCCCCCACATTTGTTCAACTTGTTTTTGGCTTAGCCAATAGGTTTGCTGTCTTTATGGAAAATCTTAGAAAATTGCTTTAGCTCTTAGCAGCCAGATCCTGCCCCTCCCCCCAGAAGCTTACTTTCTTTTGAGTGAGCCCGTTTTTTCTTCCCAGCAAGGGACATTTCGGGATGGTTCCACCACCTCTCCTGGGCTTCTCGTAGACTAGACGCTCTTGGATAGCGCACGAGCCTCTCCTCCACCTCTCCTCAGCGTCTGGACTTAGGTTGTTAAGTACAGAGAGAACTGTTTCATCTTTTTTTTTAACCTTTCTTTTTATTTATTCTTTGTGTCTTTCACATCATGCATCTGGGTCCCATTCAGTTCCCGCCCCTGGGATCCACTCTTGCACACACCCCCGCCAGTAAAATTTAAGAGAAAATAGAAAAGGAAATAAAGGGGGGGGGAGAAATCTCATCATGAAAGCTGTAGTGTTGGGGTGACGGGGGAGAAGGGGAGGGAGAGGGAGCTGGGATTGACATGAGAAGCAAGCAGGTTTCTAACTTAAGTAAAAAAGGAAGAAAATAAAAAGAAATCTGTAGTGTGACACAGTGGGCCACGCAGTAAACCCTTTTGTCCCTATATCTTAACTTAAGTGTTCATTCCAAAGAGACATTGGTTTGGTTCGAGGCCTCTGATCCTGCTACACTATTGATGCTGGGCCCTCACTGGAGCTCCTCCTCGTTACCCTGCTGTAGCCCTGCGGTGTGGAGATCCTGCGAGATCCTGCGGCTTTGGGTCTGGCATAGGCAGGGGAGACATGCTCCCTCCTCCACCCTCCCCCAGACCTTCAACACCGGGGCAGGTGGGAGGGCTGCCACTGAGGTCAGAGGGTGGAGAGCAGACCCTGCACCTCACCTGGGCAGCACAAGAGAGCCAGTCCTGTGGCAGGGGTGTGGGCAAGACAGCCCTGAAACGATGCGTGTGGGAACTGCCCTGTCTGCAGTGCTCACGAGGGGAAGTTCGGGGCCCCCATGCCTGGGATGTTTACATGGCTCTAGGGCCCCCATGCTTATGATGCAAGTGCTCTCCCAACAGAGCTCTCACGCCAACCCGTTTCTTTGGGTTTTGAGACAGAGTCTCACTCTTTAGCTTAGCCAGCATTGAACAAGAGAAGATCTTCCTGCTTCAGTTTCCCTGGAGCTGGGATTATAGGTGTGCACCACCATGTCCCAGCAAGTTTTCGTTTTTTGCTTTTCCAGACAGGGTCTTGCCAGATAACTGAGGCTGGCCCTCATTTTATGATCCCCCTGCCTCAGGAGAGTGTTGATATTACAGGCACGTGCTTCTCATTTGGGAATTCCTTTACATGTGCAGTGGTTTGCTTAAAGTATTGCTTTATCTTCATTAAAAAATGCTTTTTCATTTTGGATAACTTTATGATCCCTGATATTATCTTAAATCTAATATTGAGCTCCTATAGTGAATTTTATTATAGTTATTATACTTTTGTACTCTAGAATTTCTTTCTGGCTCCTTTTATAATTTTAGCCTCTTTATTGGGCTTCCTTCTTTAAGGACTCATTGCTGTTACACTTTCCCCTAGTTCTTTAAACACACAATCCTTTAGTTTTTTTTTTAAGAAAAACATATTTATGATAGCTACTTGGAATCTTTGCTATGTTCAGTGTTGGTTCTCCTAATAATTTCTAGCGATGCCTTTTTTTTTTTTCTTCGAGACAGGGTTTCTCTGAATTGTTTTGGAGGCTGTCCTGGAACTTGCTCTGTAGACCAGGCTTGCCTTGAGCTGACAGAGATCCGCCTGCCTCTACCTCCCAAGTGCTGTAATTAAAGGCGTGCACCACCACCAATGCTTGGCTTCATGTTTGATTTTTAAAATTTTAGGTCGTATGTAGTAACTCTCAACTATAATAATTATCTTTGGCTAAAATCCAAGATTTTTTTTGTTGTTTGAGATTTTGCCTGTTAGTTGTCTGGGTTGATTTTATAAAATCAGAATACCTTGGGGCACTCTATTTGTTTTTGTTTTTGTATTTTACAAGTTACAGAGGATCTGCAAGTGGGTTGAGAGGCACGCTCAACATTCAGGCCTTTTAGAAGCCATCCTTGGCTTTTGCCAGGCCTTCTGGCATTTCTTCTGTGTGCACACTTAGGCCTTAGTTAGGGATGGGTAGATACCTGGGGTCCTCTCTAGTCTCCCTGTCCATGTGCAGCCTTCCAGATCACTAGCATCATGTGGGAGTTGACCCCTGCCCACAGAAGCTAGCTCTCCCCCAACCCCCCATTGGTCTTGCCACACCAGTATTGCAGCCTCAGGCTAGCTGAGGTGTTGACCTTCCACAGTTTTCCATGACCACTGTTGTTTGTGACAATGCCCTTGGGCGTGTGTTCTGTTCCAAATCAAGCCACCCCTCTGGCAGCAGATACCAGTTTTCAGAGCCCAACCTGCCTTAGTCGGTCCATGACAAGATAGAACTGGGGTTCGGGAAGGGCATCCTGGCTGAGCCCACAGGCTGGACGACCCTAGCACAAGGCTTGGTACTTTGGAACAAACACTTCTCAATGTGTTTGTCTTTGGTAGATATCCAGTCCTGAAACAGTTGTTTTTGACGAACTTGTCCAGTTTTATAATTACTCTTTGAAGAGAAGTTTTGCCAAGTTTTTAGTCTGTTACCCAAGAAGTTCTGCCCTACTCCACGCTACATATTTGGGGGTATTTCCCCAACTTTCTGAGTATTATAAATTCATGGTGGAAATTCCACAATGTAAAAATATAAATGAGAATATTTATTAGTTCCATCTTGTGGAAATAGCCCCTCACTAAATGTGACTCCAGAAGTACTCTGCTCATTTTTTTTTTTTTTTGGCTGTGTTCTTGTAAGCACAGAGGTACTTAATCCAGAGACCTCTTTTAGCTTTTCCCATTCAAGGAGACACTTAATTAGCAGTAATTACTTGGTGATAAGATTGGTGTAAATTTTGTACTCTGCTTGAAGTTAAAAGTGATCCAGTTGGAATTACTGATCAATCGATCACTTTTGTTTTTTGTTTGTTTAAAATCGTTGAACCAGGGCCTGTGTGCTAGGCAAACACTCTTTCATTATGTCCATTAAATATTTTTTGAGCCTGGTATGGTGGCACCTACCTGTAATCCCAGCACTTGAGAGGTAGAAGTATGAAGATTGGGAGTTCAAGGTCATCCTCAGCTACATAGTAACTTCGAGGCTTGCCTAGGTTAAATGTCTCAAAACAAATAAAGAAAAAGAAAATCACTTGCCAGAGACATTGAGTGACCCAGGCTTTGTTTTCTTGGGGTTTTGTTGCTCTTTCAGGCCTTCCTCGTGAGAGGGGAAAGATTCCCTCATTCTGCTCATCCTCAAAACAACCCAAAGCCTTCTTCTCTTGCGCCCCATAGAACCAACTTTTCAGTGTGTTGGATAAAGAACTTTATACAGAGACTACAATTCCCAGGCTCATGTGGGTTCTGCCTTTCTCTGCCGTGTATTCCTGCCTGTCCTCTAAGGCCTGCTCGGCCTTTCTGACCCTCTAGGGCTTTGAGATTCGGGGATATCATTGTATTTTATCTATGAAGTCATTTATTAGGGTGAAGGATAAGGACAGTCTCAAGAGTTGTTGAGTGACATGTGGAACTCTTCTGTATAACCTGATGATTTTATAGTCATTTGAGTAGGGACACACCTTTTCTTTTTTTTTTTTTTCTTTTTTCCCCTGAGGCAGGGTTTCTCTGTGGCTTTGGAGGCTGTCCTGGAACTAGCTCTGGTAGACCAGGCTGGTCTCGAACTCACAGAGATCCACCTGCCTTTGCCTCCCGAGGCGTGTGCCACCAACTCCCAGCAAAAAAGAAAAAATGTGGAATGCTTTACGAATTTGCTGTGTCATCCTTGTGTAGAGGCCATGCTAATCTTCTCTGTATCGTTCCAATTTTAGTATATGTGCTGCAGAAGTGAGCAGGGTACTTCTGACATCTAATATCTCCAGCAGGAAGGTTTGTCAAGTGAACTAAAGAATCTTGAATGGTTAGTGACATCGTATGAATGGAAATTATTTCAGAGATGAGCCATTTACCAGGCATTTGTTTAGTCCACTTCCATTTTCACATTTTGTAAGTTGTAAACAGAACAGAATCTACTGCCAAGGAGTGGTAGTGTGTCTCTCATCCCAGTACTTGGGAGGCTGGGACAGGGAGGTGGCTGTGAGTTCAATGTTAATCTTGAATACACACTGAGTGTTAGGCCAGCCAGAGCTACATAACAAGACTCTGTCTCAAGAAAACAAAAAGCAAAATAAAAACAAAAGCTGGAATTTTATGGGGGCTGGAGAAGGTTGCCATCAAAGCCTGGAACCCAGTACCAGTCATCAGTATTTCTGTGTGTTTCCTGATAACATTGTTTCTGGTAATTCCAAAAGTATGTGCTCAATAAATGTGTCCTGGGTACTATTTTTAGCTCTGTAGATACATGAGTCAACAAAAGATTCAGTAAGCCTTGCTTCTGTGGGACACACAGAATAAGCAAGTTCAAAAGTTGCTACCTCTGAGAAGAATATGTAGTATAGCAATAGTATATACTTTGAGGAAATAAAGCAGGGAGAGCCATGACCTTATGGATGGGTGAGGGGTGATGACAGTTAAACCCTTCTGGTGGTGGTGATGGCCATGATGAGTGGCCAGGGAATTCCTCACTCCTCTGGGCATTCCCTATTGTGTACACTTTTGCAAGTTTATGAGGTACTGTGTGTTATCAGGAAAGAGTCATTTGTGAGCTTGCTGAAGCAAAGGACTTTTGAAGTTGGCATTGGCAGGATATTGAGCAACTGGGCTTGCTGGCTGCACCCCAGCATCCACATCTGATGTGAACCACAGATTTGCAAGGCTTCCCTGTGCCATCCAAAAATACTTTGTGACCTTGCTGGTTGGCAGTTTTTAAAATGTTATTTTAAATCTCAGAAAAGGGAAACATGAAAGTGCAGGCTGTCCATCCCTGAGCGTCTAGATACACACATACAGCTGTGAGATACAATCCACTATTGTAGTGACACGAGCCCTGCTGTTATAAATAGATGGAGGCTTGCGGAACTCTCCAGATGAAGGGCAAGTGCACTGGGGATGAATGCCAGCTGCTGTTCTTGTCGAAAGCCCTTCTCAAAGATCAATATTGTTTTTTGTTTCCCTGGCTGAATTTTAAAAACAACTGTGAAAGGACTGCTTAACTTAACTGCTTCCACTATTCTGACCCAAATGTATTTTCTCTCTTTACTTTACTCAGCATAGTATACCTTGTGCTTATTTAGTGATAGTTGCCTGATTGCTCATGCCTTTGCATTTAAAATTGTGCATGGTTTGCTTTTAAACAGCAGATTTATGGATAACATGTTTACATATGTGCCATGATTCATGGCTGGAAATGTGTGCCTGGTAAATATGTTCATCTTCTATTTTATCTCCTTTTCCAAGAAACTTGTATTGTAGTTTGTGTACGGGTGTCAAAACATCCTAACAGGGTGCTATTCATATGGATGGTCCTCAGTAATTTACCAACCAGTTTGTCTCTCAGGGAAAAAAAAGTACAATGTGGAGCTCTGAGCTAGAACAAAATCTCATTGTTCTCGGATTAGTTGGACAGCAGCTCAGTGTCAAAGAGAGACTGTGATTATATAGTCTCGCAATCCTAGGACTCATGCATTTGGTGAAGGAGGGATATGTTAAAGTGGCTAACTTTTATAGTTAACTGTTAAGGGAGATTTTGGTATAGCAGAAGAAGCCATGTTCAATATTCTTTGACTTGTGTATTAGCTTCCTGTGGCTACTGTAACAAAATCCCTGAAACGGAGTGCCTAAGACAGTAGAAAAAGAAAGTGGAGGTGGTAGGGTTGGTTCTGGCGGGGTTGTCTCCCTCTTTGGCTTGGGACTGTGCCCCTCCAGCCCCTGCCTCTTCACACACAGCCTCTGCTTTGTGTGTCTGCCTTTTGCTGGACGCTCTCTTTGGATTTAGGGCCTACTCTAATCTAGTGGGATCTCACCTGAACACCTGAGTATTTATGAAGTATTGACAATGCATTGGAGGTGGGTGGAGATCCCAAGAAAGTTATATGGCTCCTTCTTTGCCAGGCATACAGTGCCCCATGTCCCATTCTTTTTTAGATGCTATTTAGTATTTAAAGTAAGAGAGTAAACACCAACACACATTTCCACCGGGGCTGCTACATGGTGTGACCATGTTGTATGTAGCTGACATCTGAGGGACCTGGCAGTCCTCCTTGGCCCCTTGAGGACGGGAAGTGGTATGGGAAGCAACTCTCTTCCTTGGCCCCTCAGCTTTTCCATTTCAGTTCTTTTCTTTTCTTTTTTGGGGGTATTTATTTTATTTTTGTTTTTACATCTTGACTGAAGTTTCCCCTCCCTCCTCTCCCCCTGCCCCCCTCCTGCTATGCACTCCTCCTCCTCTGTTTCTTTACAAAAAATATCAGCCAGTCATGGTTTGTCAAGTTGCAGTGACACTAGGCACCTTCTTTCCTATTAAGGCTGGACAAGGCAACCTGGTAGGAGGAAAGGGTTCCAGAAGCAGGCAACAGAGTCACATCAGCCCCTGATCCCACTGTTAGGAGTCCCACAAGAAGGCAGAGCTCAGGGAATCTTGTGGAAGAGGGGGAGGAAGGATTGTAGGAGCCAGAGGGGTCAAGGACACCACAAGAAAACCCACAGAATCAACTCACCTGGGTTCATAGGAGCTCACAGAGACTGAACCAACAACCAGGGAGCCTGCTTGGGACTGACCTATGCCCATTGCATATATGTTACAGCTGTGTAGCCTGTTATTTCTTACCTCGCCTCCCAGCTTTGGGTTCATAGTAATGGATCAGTCACACTTTGGAAGTAAATAGCATTCTTTTTGAGAATTAAAACCACCATTTTCATTTGTCTGCCAGAAATCATTTTAGTTGAGAGCAGGGACAAATATCTCTGGAGTCATTGTCCCTGATAGAAATGAGCAAGGCAGTGGTCTCTGTGATCTGCTTCTTTTTTTTTTTTTAACTGAAGATTATGCTAGTGTGCAGGGAGTTGGGACAGCACATGAAAGATTTGCAACTTAGGTGCTCAGTGGCTAGTGATTCCTTTTGAACAGTCTGTAAGAATGCTGAGCCCTGGGGAGCTTGGAGTGCTGTATTCTAATGCTCATGTATCCCAGCTGTCCAGAGAGTTTCAAAATGCCCCAAGAATTTCCAAATATATCCTCACCCAGAGTCCTTATGCTATACTAATACTCTACATTTCCCCGACACTCACTACAGCGTGGACATAGACACATGTACCCTTTTTTCCCCTTTTCTGAACCATTTGGGAACCATGTTTCAAGAAGCACCCCTGGATATTTTTGAGTATTTCCTAAAAACAAGTGTACTCTTCATGTGCCCAGCAACCATCCACCCACCGAACTTAAGAAATTACCATTGCTGGCATCCGGTACCTCAGCCACAGGCCCGGTCCCACTTTGCCAGTTGCTCTTCTGAGGACTGTTCTGTAGAGCCCACCACCACGTGCTCTGCCGGCTGTCACGGCTCTTTAGCCTCCTTCAGTCTTAGACAGTTTCTTCCTTTATCTTTGTCTTTCATGACCTTGACATTTACAAGATCACTGTTAGTGACTTTGTGGGATGGCTGTTAGTCTAGGTTTGGTCCTGACTAGAATCAGGGTGTGTGTTTGGAGGAAGAACACTGCAGAAAGGCCGTATCCCAGCCCTTCTGATGGTGCTTGACAGTTTTTGTCCCATTTCTAGATCTATCAAGTTTGATATTTGAGGCAGAATTGGCATGATTTCTCTATTATAAAATTAGTTGATTATCATTTTACAATTTAGTTAAAAAGTAGTCTTTTATAAGGGAGACACTTTGAAACTGTGTTAGAATTCAGTTTCTCATTAAACTTTTACTCATCATTTCTTGTATTCTTTGATGATTCTTGCCTGAATCGATCAGTGTGGTGGTTATCGAATGGTGAAAATTTTTTTTTTCGAGACAGGGTTTTTTTGTATTGTTTTGGAGGCTGTCCTGGAACTCGCTCGGTAGACCAGGCTGGCCTCAAAGAGATCCACCTGCCTCTGCCGCCGAAGTGCTGGGATTAAAGGCGTGCACCACCAATGCCCAGCCCCGAATGGTGAATTTTTATTGCGATATTTCTTCTATATTTGTTAGTTGTTCCACTATAAGAGGTTAGTGTGCTTGTCTCCCTGCCTCCCTGCCTTCCTGCCCTCCCTCCACCTGCTCCTCCATTCATTGTACTCCTTGGGTTTATGTAACCCACTACTACCAACATTTGCTTTGGTGCTCTGATTGTCCTAGTGGGAGTTCCTTCAAGCTGGCCTTTGTGTCCTTTAGTGTGTTCCTACCATCCTTCGAGTGTTCCTTTTACTTTACAAAAGACTTTCCCAGCTCTTTGTGAATGTTCCCTTGCTCCAGCACTGGAATCGGCCTCTTCTACAATAAGCCCTGCTTTCTTTTAGCAGTGAATGGTAAGAACCATTTTCCATTGCTACTGACTGTTAGATTTCAATGGACATGGGAAGCATAAACTCCTCTATATACACATTTGGTCATGCGTGTGGGTAGGTACAGAGTTTTCTATCTACCCACTTAACTAGCTGTAAGAAGCAAGGTATAATCTACATCACACGGATAGATCACTTTAACTTTATCCCGTGCGTTGGCTGTTTCTCCTCAATGCTAATAGAAGCAGGTGCTTCTTATTGTCTTTACTATTTTTGTTTGTTTGATCAGTAGCCTTGTATGTAACCAGTCTTCTGATTTCTGGGCCATCCAGCCCTGGACCTTGTCACCAGCTTCAGGAGAGTGGCAGCCACAAAACCTCAGTAAGGCCACAGCAGACAAACTCAGGTCAGCCTGTGCTGGCAAGCATAAAGTATATTAGTTACTTTTCTCATTGCTATGATAAAAATACC